TTTTGGGTTCGTACTTGTCAATACTCGAGTAAAAAGTGAATAATAGTATAATTAGAAGAAAATATATGAGGATTTGGTGTTGAAAGTGAAAAGTTTTGGTAGGTATTTGTAGAAAAAAAAATTACAGAATTTTTGGGTATTTTTTTCTAAAAATTTCGATTTTTTTTCATTTTTTTATTGCACAAAAATTGGCTGCCGTTAGATTGGAGGAAAAATTCTGATCGGAGAGCCCAGAACGCGACACTTGGCAGAGAGATGTTGGATGCACTATAGCGCGCTGACGTCATCCAGCCCGCAGGCAACAGCTCGGGCCCCCTCCCCCTTCGGGCCAGCCCAGGCTCGTGGCCCCCACAGCTTGCCCGGGCCAACCCCTCCTGCTGGAATCAGTTTTTGGGCTACAGTAGGCCCCCAGCCCTTGCCTTCGGGCTCTGCTGGAAGTGGCCTTAGAAGCATGTTGTGAGCTGCTTCTGTTTTTTAGCTTTGAATGACAGCAACTTACTAAATAAGCAGCTTGAATTTGTTTTACCAAACACCCAAATCTCCAAAACTTTTTTTCAAAGCTGCTTATTTTTTAAGTTAAGCAACTCCAAACTAAGCCTAAATCCTGGGACTGTCTTGGATTAGCTAGGATTGAAATAAGCTGGATTAAGTACTGACCTACGTTTGGTGCTGCGTCGGACTAAAAAGCTGGATTGTAAAAATAATGAAGACCTATGTTTGGTGCTGTGTCGGACTAAAAAATAATTATTTAAATATTTAAATATAATAATTTATAGATAATTAAATATAATTTAATAAGATCTTAAAACTGTGAACATACTTTCTAGATACCAAATTTACATGTAAATGTCAAAGTTAGAATTTTTCCAAAAAGTCATAACAAATCAACAAAGAAAGCATTCCAAAAATGCCATCAAGCCCATTCATAGCAATTTGGACCATGAAATTAAATTTGGCACCATGAGATACAAGAAAAATTCGGAAATTTGGTCTTGCATCTATTTATTACAAAATAGGGGACAAGTTATCTAATAGATAAGCTAGACTACTCAACACAACTGCCAAAAAGACTAAAATTTGGCATATTTTGGTGCCAAACCAATGACTAAGCATGTCATTAGTCCTCCAATGAAGCAACTCTTGAGAAACTCACCACTACCTCTATCTGGAATGCCCATGTGGTAGCCAAAATCAAAATCAAGAATTGCATTACCACCCCATTGCATAACCCAGCTGAGTGCCACATTTAAGCAAACAGTTGGAGTGCATGTTGTGCTATGGACTCTTGCACAACACCAGAAGCGTTAAGCCCCCAAACCCAATTCTTCAAAGATTGAAACCTATTAATCTTATGAACAAAACCAATGGACTCTGACCCAGCAATAATGGCAACACAATAAGACAAAGAAACAAGCAAAACTTTCGTGCATTTGGGTTCAGGAATCTGCGATGTCGCTGATATCAACGATTGAAAACCCACAAAGCCCACTTCAATTACAAACAGAGTCGTTCAATTGGTTGATGACCATGCTATTCACAACATTCATAGGCTCTGTAATTTCAGGTGGCCTGAAAGCATCATCAGAAACAAGAAATTCACTCTTGCAATCAAGACCCACATGGATGGCACCCTCAGAAGGGCGAAATATTTCAATTGCTTATCACTCCTGCAATCAAATCCGTCGTGAAGGTCAATGGCAGAATTGTGTGGCAAAATCGATACACACTGCACCAAGATATCACGACGCAGGTGAAGAAGAAGAAACTGGTTTGCGCTGTGTCGGACTCGCTTGTTCTAATCAGCGAGAGCGCTATTTTGAGAACCAATTTTCGGCCTCACTATATTAGAAGGGCGAGCGAGCTGTTTTTTTTACTGTTGGATTATATAGTCTCATTTAAGTTAGTCCATTCTCAAATCAAACATGGGTTTCAAGTATTATTTTGTCCAATCCAGTCTAATGAGGCCTACCAAACATGATTACACCCTTAAGACATGTTAGTCCATATCTTTTCAATTTTAACAATTACATACTACGGTCTTTTAAATTTGTTATAATATGATTCCGCCGTTAGGGTTTCTGTCAGATCTCTCTATTAAATGCCTATGTGGCACTGTGGGTCCCATATTTTTTAATTTTTTTAATTTTAAATTAATTAAAATATGAATAATATATTAAAAACCAAAAAAATAAAAAATAAAAAAATAATTTTTATTTTTTAATTTTATCTCTCTCTCTCTGCAACCAACCCAGAACTCAGCTCTCTCTCTCTCTCTCTCTACCCCATGACACCACCACCTGCAAACTATCCACACCCCAGCCTGCAACCACATCCCCACGAACCCAAAAACCCAGACCCGATTTCTTCCCCCCAACCGAGATTTCTTCTCCCTCCCCCAATTTCTTCCCCCCACCCAGATTTATTCTCTTCCCCCACACAGATCTATTATCTCCTCTTCCCCCCTCTCTCCGATTTCTTCTTCCACCATCTGCTGAGATCGAAGGCTCTATGGCCGATGCCAGCTACAAGGTCCGCTCCTCTAACCTACATGTCACTCAGCCCCTTGAACGCATCAAGACCGTCATGGTCAACTCCCCCAATGACCTCTCCTAGATCGCCTCCGACGCCTTTCTCTACAACCCCTCCGACCTCACCTCCTGGATCGACTTGCTCCTCTTCAAGTTCAACCACCAGCCCCTCATCTCCATCCCCTCGATCTGGACTTCCCTGACGCCATCATGGAGGGGAAGAAATCGGGAAGAATTGGGGGGAGGAAATTGGAAGGAATGATTTTTGGGAGGGGGAAGAAATTTAATATTTTATTCATATAATTGCATGATTTGATTTCTGGGGTGTTATCAGACTATGGTTTTTGAGGCAGGATTGATTGGTTTTCTTTGTAATAGATGTGCGGTTGATTATTGATGCTTATATTGCCAGTGTGTTGTTTCTTGTGGTACTATGGGGAAGAAATCGGGAGGAAGGAGGGGGGGAGAAGAAATCAAGGGAGGAAAGAAATCTTGGATGGGGAAGAAATTGGGGAAGGAAAGAAATCTGGGAGGGGGAAGAAAACATGAGGAAGAAATTCGGGAATTGGAGGAGAGAGCGAGATTTTTTAAAAAAAATTTAAATTTTTTTTATTTTTTTGGTTTTTTAATATTTTAATCAATTTAAATTTAAAAAATAAAATAAAATGTGGGTCCTATAGTGCTACGTAGGCAACTAATAGAGAGAACTGACGAAAACCCTAACGGTGGAACCATATTGTAACAAATTTAAAAGATCAGGGTATGTGATTGTTAAAATTGAAAAGATAGGAACTAACATGTCTTAAGAGTGTAACTATAGGGTACTAAACTGTAATTAATCCTTAATAAAATACAATATATGATGGGCCCTACAAAGATATTCCTCAAATAAACTTATTTGAAAAATCTATATATATACATGCACATCATTAGCACTATGTACCTAGATGCTTCTCCGTTGCGAAGTCCAACAATGCAGATTCGTTACTGAATTGAATTTTTGACTGTGCGATTCTCATCCTGCTTTCACAATGCGGATTCGTATTGTTGGACTCAGTGGCGGATCCAGGATTCAAAAGCCAAGTAGGCGAAACTTAATTACCTTAAAAATTCGACGGTACAAGTGAATTTTATTCATAAAAATAAAAAGATACACCTAGTAAATGGGGACATAATGAGCCTTACCCTAAAATATGCATATCTATACATAAATAAAAGCTTAACAAAAGCATTGTAATAGATGATGACCCATCATTCTTTTTCTTAAAAAAAGAGAACAATTTTTTTGTTTTCTTAGGGTTCCGATTGTGATCCAACATAATAAAAGATAACCTATTTAATCAAACATCACAACCAAAAATCAAACAAATTCTCAATATGTGATCCAAAGAAAACTGAGATTACAAAACAAATCATGAAACTTCAACGACTAAGCGCATATGCCTATGAATATTTTGGAGGTTTGATCCTCTCAATATGCGTAAATTATCATCAAATTATAACATTACAAGATTTCTATCTAATAAATTATTGGAAAATGAAAAAGGAATAAATATTTTTTATTTAAATTATAATTATTTTGTCAGATCATGTTCCTCTCTTTGCTTGGCACAATTTCCTGCTGGAAACATGGGGAATGTGAATGGCCAGATCGTGTTGCACAATTATTAAAGATTCCCCATCTCCGGAGACTCATTTTGCAAGACCAAGACTAGAGTCTTAAAATGAAACTGGAGCTGCTATGTAGTTTATGTCTTTGTTTCAGCATAACAAAAGCTAACTCCAAGGATCAAATATATTGAAAAACTTAAGCTGATTCTGATTTGTTATTTTTCCTATTAATAAACAAAAACGTGTACCTGAGTTAAGATAATCTTCTAGTTCTGAGATCCAGTCAAGCATTTTTTACTCTTTTTATTTTTTTGAAGTATAATATAAGTGGGCATGCCCCATGGGGTTGGAGTGGAGAATGTCGGCTGGGTTGGAGCATTTGAGTTGATATTGCTTTTATTGTTTTTGTTAAATGAGAAAGTTTGAGTGGGCTGGGCTATTGTTTTTGTTAAGGGAAAACATTTGAGTGAGTTGGGATTGAGTAGGCAGAAGAGATATAATTGAGTAAGCAGAAGAGATATAATTGTATTAAATATTGGGTAATACTTGGTTTGGCAAAAAATAGAGTAGGCGGCTGCCTACCCTGCCCTTAGGGTAGGACCGCCTTCGACTTCGCAACGGAGAAGCGCCCTCCTACGTACCTGTAGCAGCATGTGCTAGTAATATAATATATATGCACAGGCACATGCGCTACATGCAATTGGTTTCGAAAAATGAAACACATGACAACCGACAGCATGGACGAGTTGCTTAATTATATAAATAAGCAGCAGAAGCAGCAGCAGCAGCAGCAGACGTGAAGGTTTTAATTACTGATGAGTATAGGTCCTAGTGAGGATAGAGAGAAGAGAGAAGAGAGAGATGGAGGTGAACCAAATACTTCACATGAACAAAGGAGATGGCGAGAATGGTTATGCTCAAAACTCCCAAGTGCAGGTACAAATTAATTAAACAGAATTATTATATTATTGGCTTTCCATCTTTAATTCATTAACTTCTTAGCTCCTCAATCCATATTATTATGATCATTTCATTATAATTCAATTTTATTTTTGTAGGGCAAAATATTATCGGTTGCAAAGCCAATCATTCATGAAGCCGTGCTAGAAATATTGAGCTCAAATAATATAGAGAGCATGGGGATTGCCGATTTGGGTTGCTCATCTGGACCCAACACCTTACTGCCCATCTCCTACATCATGGATGCCATACATGCGAAACGCAGCAGCCTCGGCCTCCAGCTGTCCCCATCATCAACAACAGAGTTCAGAGTGTACCTCAATGACCTCTTCAGCAACGACTTCAACGCCATTTCTATGTCACTCCCTGCATTCTACAACAACTTGAAACAAGAGAAAGGTCCTGAATTTGGGTCGGTCTTTGTTTCTGCGGTACCCGGTTCGTTTCACGGTAGGTTATTTCCGGCCAAGACTTTGCATTTTGTGCACTCTTCTTGTAGTATCCACTGGCTCTCTCGGGTCCCCCCTGCCCTCAGCAACACCCCGGCGGAGGCAGCTGGCTCGGCCTTTAACAAGGGAAAGATTTACATTTCTAAGACCAGCCCTCAATGCGTTTTGGACGCATATTCACTTCAGTTTCACGAAGACTTTTCATCGTTTCTCAAGTCCCGCGCTGAAGAAGTAGTTGGCGGAGGACGAATGGTGTTGTCACTCTTGGGCAGGCCTTCCTCTGATCCCACAACTCCAGAGAGTTGCGACCAGTGGGAGCTCTTAGCCCATGCATTAATGACCCTGGTTTCTGAGGTATATGTCTTAATAATTTAGTTTCATCATGGCTATTTTACTTGATTAACATAATATGTCATATATTTATATGCATATGGGTGCAGGGTCTTATTGAAGAGGAAAAGGTTGATGCCTTCAACATTCCCTATTATGCCCCATGTGCAGAGGAATTGAAATTGGAGGTACAGAAAGAAGGGTCGTTCGTAATGGACCGTGTGGAGGCGTTTGAAATGGATCGGGATGCCAGTGGTGGTGAATCTGATGATATGGTGGCTAGTGGGCAGCGAGTGGCCAAGAGCATACGAGTCGTGGCTGAGTCAATGCTAGAATCTCATTTCGGAAAAGATATAATGAATCATCTGTTTCGAAAGTACGCAGAGCTCCTGGGGGATCACTTGTCAAAGTTTAGAACCAAGTATACCAATTTGATCATTTCAGTCATCAGAAAGCAATGATCTTATTCATGTAATATAAGATAATGGAGAAGTTTAATTTTCTTTTCATTCAATTCAGTCATTTTGCGTTACCCTTGACAAGTCTCTAGAGACATTTTGTGCCTTTCCAATCCAAGGCATGGTGGTGGGGTTAATTTTGTCAGCATCAACCACTCGGGCGCGCTTTCTATGGCAGCGCACCATGATAACGTTGGAAAATGCTAGAGGCACCAACCTTGGGCACCAACTCTCTAATAGAGCGTGAGACCCATTGTATTGACGGGCTCCACCTCTATTAGAGAGTTGGTGCCCAAAGTTGGTGCCTCTAGCACCACCCGATAATGTTTTAGTGCCAAAGTGATAGTAGTGATGGCCAAGGCTTCTTAGTTCAATTTCAATGAATGGAGCATTGAAGCTCAACTCAAAAGGCTTTTCAAAAATTAATAATTACAAAGATAGCCATAAAGGCCTGTCGGCCAAAACACCAACCCAATTTTCCTCCACCGTAGACGTCTCTCTTTCAATGTTCTTTAAAATTGCACAACAAAATTTTCGTATCATTCTACTACCAACCCAACCTGCGGAGCAAAATTGTAGCTGCAGGAAAAATATGCCTTCCATGTTGCCATATCACGAAGCTTATAGTTTTGGTTGTTACGCTGTAATATTATGAAGTCCAATAATCAAGAATCAACGGCTGATATTCCTCCAGGCAGTCAAGGATTGCCGTTGATTGGAGAGACCCTACAGTTCATGGCTGCCATTAATAGGTTTTATGAGTTTGTCCAACTTCGCCGTCTCTGGTAACACCTCTCTCTCTCTCTCTCCCTCTCTGTTCATGACCTAACCTTTGGTCTTTTATAACTTATAAGTCTCCTCACTGTAACTTAGTGGGAAAAATCATATGTTCTTCTATAGGCTATAGCACAGCTAGTTTGTTACTCTGTTTGCTGTGAATGCAGGCACGGAAATTGCTTCCGGACCAACATATTTGGAGAGACACATGTCTTTGTTTCGAGCACAGAGTCAGCCAAGGCCATCTTAAACAATGACTCAGGGAAATTCAGCAAGAGATACATAAGGTCAATTGGTGAGCTAGTGGGAAATCAAAGTCTGCTCTGTGCTTCTCACCAACACCACAAACTAATTCGTAGCTAAGCCAACTAACCAATTTGTTCTCCACGAGCTCTTTATCAGTTTTCATCAAACAGTTTGATCAACTCATTGTTGATGCTCTCAGAAGCTGGGAACACAGAAGCACTGTGGTTATACAAGATGAAGCACTTCAGATAAACAAACATTAAGGATTCCAAGTTCTGGATCGAAGCCCAAAACTTTAATTAATTGTAAAAATAACCCAACAATCAGCTTTTATAACTATATCATGGGCTCACTAAGATTATTGAACCAAAGCAAACATTCAAAACTCGTTCTATTTGCGATTCTTATTTAATAAGGTGTTTGATGTAAATTTCATTTTGAGCAGATAACTTGCAAAGCTATGTGCAAGATGTTGATAAGGCTGTAAAGCGGATATGAATTAGAGGTGTTAGAGAGGGAGGTGGTTCATGTTTGTGAAGCAATGCTTGCATTACCTCTCAGGTTACCCGGGACTCGGTTTTACAACGGCCTTCAGGTAAGTAACTCTTCAAAATTAAAGCACAAGAGCTCATAGATGGGATTGTAGGCTCAAATTGTCAAAAACTAACCTCTGTCAAGTATGATCATTTCATTTAGGCCAGAAAGAAAATCATGGCCATAATTGGAAAGGCAATGAGTGAAAGGAGAAGAGGGTTACAAGATAATGGTGAAGATTTTCTGCAACGGCTTCTGGATGAGGATGATAAAGCATGCAAGGGAGCAGCCACTAATGGCGGTGGGCTAACAGATGAGTAGATCCAAGATAATATCTTAACATGTACTAGACTTTCATAACTTAACACTAACCTTGATCAAACATATTGCCTGTAGAGGATCTTCTTCTCTATGCAACATTGCAATGCTATTTCTCTAGATGGGGTGAGAACTGGTTTAGCAGGTGTTGTTGCTAGAGAAGGGACCTCTATATATATATGCATCACTCGAATGCCTTGCCCATCAAGGAGCAGTTGAGTGTTCCAATTGCATTAGAATTAGGTTGTTTCAATCCATGTAGAGTTAGGAAGTCTATTATCTCTTGCATTCCAATTAGGATAGCTTTTATACAGAGGTAATCCGATAAGTCTGAGTATACTTCTTGAACATGCAAACTTCTCGAGTCCTCACATGATTAGAAGACCACAATTCGTGGTTAAGACAATGAATTGTCTTACATTCTCCCACTTGGTCGATTAATCATAAGAGTGTTTGCATAGATCACTTCAAGGCCTTGTGAAATATGACTCAAACTAATTCCAACTAAGCAATTCTCAACTGTAAAGCATGAGGAGGGGTCATCAAGACTTCATTGAATATCTTGTACTTCAAGGTCTTTATAACCACACTCATCACTCTTTAAAGCCACATAAACTTTGATCAAGATTAAACAGTAGAACAACATGGTATACTGTAAAAGCTAAGACATTACCATGTTTGCTCAATGTTTCTGATTTGACTACCAAGGTCTTATTGTGTTCACTGTCATGAATACATTACCATGCACAGCTTCTTTAAGCTAGCAATGCTGCTAAATGTTACTCATGTGTTTTTCAAAACATAACAACATAATTTTAAAACAAAGTTAACTTTAATTTGAACCAAACTGAATCAACATCCATCGAAAATACTAAAAAACAAAACAATTGTTTAAAACTTGAAAACAAAATGAGCTCCCACTGATTTTGGCATCCATGTCAGCTGTCAATCCCATACTAGACACATGCCTATGAAAAACAACATTTGGTACTCCCCTAGTAAGCGGATCTACAATCATTTGATATGTTCCTATGTGATCTATAGTAGTGTATCCTTGACTTATTTTTTCTTTGACTATTATGAATTTGACATCCAATAGCCTTGAACCTCTTGTTCTTTTGTTTCCCTTTGCAAATAGCACTGCCGCACTATTGTCATTCCATAGTTGTATAGGTCTGTGTATTAATTCCACCACACTTACACTAATAATGAAAGTTATGAAAGTTATCAACCATATAACCTAGAAGTAGCTTCATAACAGGCTAGAAATTCAGCTAGCATTGTTGAACCAGCTGTAACGATTTTTCATTGTTTCTCAAGTTCCGCGCTGAAGAAATGGTTGGTGGAATTGTCGCTCATGGGCAGGCCATCCTATGACCCCACAACTCCAGCCAGTTGCTACCAGTGGGAGCTTTTAGCCCACGCATTGATGACCTTGGTTTCAGAGGTATCCACAATATTTAGCTTATATAGCAATTTAAGCTTTTTTTGTTCTTGTTTTGAAACAAAGGAAATATTACAAGGAAGATCCTTGAGGGATCTGTAAACCAAACATATCAAAATACAATGAAAATTATCAAACCAGATACAAGTATGTAATGAAGAACGGCAATTTAAGCTTTTCATATTGCCAGAAGAGTAGGAAAAAAAACATATCCTTTAAGATAGTCATTAAATTTGCTGACCACCTCTCTAATAGAGGTGCGTCCCACAAGTGTACGTGAGAACCACATATATTAAAGAGATAGTTAACAATGTAATTGGTAGATGCGATCTGAATAGCAACACCCATTCTTCTTTTTTTCCCATTGCATTATCCCATTAATCCATTAGCTTAGATACTAACTTGTTTTATAGGTGCAAGGTCTTATTGCAGAGGAAAAGGTTGATTCCTTCAACGCTCCCTACTATGCCCCATGTGAAGAGGAATTGAGCTTGGAGCTTAAAAAAGAAGGGTCATTCTTAATGGATAGCTTGGAGGCGTTTGAAATTGATTGGGATGGCGGTGGGGATCAAGAATTGCATCACATTTGATATGGTAGGTGTGGGAGCAAATATTTTCGTCTCCAATCATAGCACGCTACCTGAAAAAGAAGAATATCTCTTAAATTAATTAATTGAACCAATTTATTTTGCCAATTAATTAATATGGATAGTATCTTTATTATAGGATATTATCTTTATTTAATAAGATAATATCATTAATTCAGATATTATCCTAATAAGGAGATATAGTCATCATCAAATTAGGAGATTTGGATCCCAATCAAATCCCTAATGGACTCAATCTCTACAATTTGGGTAAAGAATAAACTCCTTCCTAATAAGAGTTTTGTTCTCTACGAAACCTTAACCTATGAGGCTCCTATAAATAGATGGCTTCATTCATCAATCAAGGTACATCTAAACCTACTTCTAAAACCCGAGAAAAATACCCAAAGCTCTCTCCCTCTTCACTCTCCACTTTCCATATTTTCTCCAAAAGGCTCCGGCCACCACACACAACTCTGGCCACCCGGTTCTCACCCTAGAGAAATCTCCGTACCTTTTTAAACTATTGTTTCACCTAGATTCAATCAAACTAACTTACGCATTGAAGGACCTTTGGACAACACCCCCCCCCGGGTGTGGTCTATTTACTCCGGTCTTTTTTACAAAAATTGAGGAAAAGAGAGAAGGAAGATCAAAGGTTGAAGAATCACAAAGCGAATATTCTCCCACGAGATTATTTGCACAAACATTTGGTGCTTTCATTGAGAGCATGAGTTATACTCAACGCTTGTTCAAGGAATCCGTTCCTCCTATTTTCCAATCCACTGAAGCCTTCCAAAAAATCATGGTTGGAAGCAAGCGACAAGACCGCCGAGATGGCTCAATCCATGACGGCCCAAAGCCACTCTTCCCACGATCCTGCGATCAACATGGTGGCACCACCACCTCTCGCCGCCATGAACCCGCAACAAACCCTTGTTGCCGCACCACAACAGCCACCTCATGTGGCTGGAACCACTGTGCCACCTGTCGGGCCCGCAATTGGGACCACCGCATCTACCTCTGCCGTCGTCATACCATCTTAAGGCCCCGTGGCTGGATCTAGCCACCTTCATAGCGTCGTCGCCGAGCATGGTGGAACCTCCCATCAGGGTGGGCTCACTACCATCGCCGACTTAGGCCCGATCTTGGAGCAACTTCAATCATTCCCTTCATTGCCTCTACACTCAACGTACGCTCCTGCGTACACCTCCAATGAAACCCTAACCCGTGTGCAATTGGGCTCCACACACTTCTCTCCTCCCAATCCACGAAGTTAAGTAGACCTCAATCTGAGAGTTGACCAGCTAATTTAGAGAATGGACGACCAAAATAATTTGATGAGGCAGCTCCTCAACCAAATAAACTTGGCTCAAAACCTTGGCCTTGGACAACAGGGCGAAGAGATAAGGATGGACGAACGCGCTGATGGGCAGTTCAATGGGTACCAGGTAGGTCGAGCAGGAGTAAGCGAACAAGGAGAGGGACAACAACGCGGTCAACATGCCGACATGTCATAAGCATCTGCAAGCCACACTCAGAGCAGACGGGGTCTCTCATCTAGATTGAGCTCTGTTGCATTCCTAAAAGGACACAAATTAATGTGCAAACAACCAATTAAAAATACCCGCAAGTGCACGAATCTAATGAAGTATAGATTATGTAAGTACGGGGTCGATCCCACGAAGAACTTGTCGGTTTCCTATAAGTTCTAATTTGAGTACGTAAAGAACACTAATTTTACACAACACACAAACACAATACAAATTGGAAACTAAAAATGAAGTAAGGAAGATAAAAGAAATGAAACAACACAAGAAAACAAAGAAAAACACAAACAGCACTTTCTATCACCCGTTTATCACCATTTGGACAGATTCGTTTCTCTGTTTTTCAGTTTCGACCTCTGTCCAGTTTTTGACCTATAACTTTCCAACCGGCTGCGCCCACGACTTGACATCCACGCCCACCTAGGTCTGCAAGGAAATGTTCAAGAAAGGCTAGGCCCTCAGGGAGGTCAACCTGACGACCTTCACAATGAGGATCGTGAAGAAAAACGCTCCAATGCTCGCTCCCGAAGAACCAATTCTTGTCGATAAGCTACAGGAAATCCCTCGCCGAACAACTGAGAAGGTTGACCCTTGCGAACCAACAAGGAAGTCAATCAGCGTCGCCCAAATTGCAAAGGTCACCAACGTGACCGACTAGCCATCTGTGCGGAAGACGTTGAGAAGCTTGTAAATAACTGACTTCGAGACTTAAAGATTGGCGAAAATTTTGAAGATGCTCTATGCATGGAGGTAGACCGAGCAAACTCCTCACCTTTCACCTTCGAAATCGAGTAAGCTGCTCCCCCGAAACGATTCTCAACGCCCTCTTTCACATACTTCAAAGGGGATTCCAATCTCGAAAGCCATCTGAAGCACTTCAAGAGCATTATGATCCTTTATAAGGCTGAAGACGTGCTAATGTGCAAAGTGTTTGCAATGACTTTGGGAGGAGTAGCTCAGGACTGGTTCCACACCCTACCATCCGGGTTGATCAGCAGCTTCAATGAGTTAGCTTACATCTTCACCAAAGAATACATTTCTTACCGGACGATCAAGAAGAACCCTGACCACCTGTACAAACTGCGCAAGAAGTCCGATGAATCCATTCGAAATTACATCAAGAGATTCAAAGCAGAAAAGGCTAACATTGTAGGATGCGATGGCCGAATAGCATCCTCTGCTTTCAAGAAAGGTCTTCCAGCTGAGCATGACTTATACCGCGAGCTGACTATCACTCCCAGCCAGACTCTGGTAGAGGTCTTCGCTACCGCAGAATGCTATGCGCTCTGGGAGGACGATCGAATCACAACGAAAACCAAGTGGACAAGCCAAAGAAGTGACAGGATTAGCAACAAGAATAAGGACAAACGTAGGTCGCACCCACAAGGACACGCTACGGCAGAAGAGAACTACATCAAGTTCTTCATCCTCATACATCAAATCTTAGCCCAAGTAAAGGACAAACCTTGGGTAAGAAAATCGCCTCCCTTGAAAGGAGATCCAGACAAGAGGGATATCATAAAATACTGTGCCTTCCATAGGACGCACGGGCACACTACGAATAACTGCCTTGCCTGGAAAGCACACCTCAAAAAACTCGTGAGAGAAGGTCACTGCACGGAATTCAATGCGAAGCAGGCCATCCAGAAGATTGAGGACCGTGATACCGCTAAGGAGCCACCCCAAAAATTCATAAATATTAACACAATCCTAACTGACTCTGAGGAGTCTGGTCTGACCAACAAAGAAAAGAATAGGAAGATCAAACAAGCCACTATAATCTCCCAAATCCTGACTGGCCTTCCACCAGCAAAAGACGATCCCGTGATCGAATTCCAAAAGAAAGAAATAATCAACCTCGATATGCCACACAACGATACCCTTGTCATCAGCATTCGAATCGCTTAGGTCATGGTCGACCGTATCCATGAAGACGAGGGCAGCGCAGCCAATATCCTGCAACTGGCAGTCATCTAGCAGATGGGCTGGAAAACAAACAAAGATCAACAAATCAGCTAGGTCACTAACTGGCTTTAATAGCGCAACAACAGCTACCGTGGGCACGATAGATCTCGACGTCTACTTTCCACTTATACTCAGCTCGAAAACATTCATAGTCATTGATGTAGTCTCACCCTACAATGGCATTCTTGGCAGACCATGGATCGGCACGATCAATGCCATCACATTTGCCACACATCAGAAAATCTGTTACCCAATCCCTAGGGGCGATGTTGGCCAAATCAACAGCTATAAGGTAATAGCGAGGAAATGCTATGCTAAATGGCTGAAGAAAGGCAAGCACACACAGTTCCTTCCTGTGAATTAGGCAGATCTGAAGTGTAGAACAATCAGATCTCGCTCCTAGTAACCAAGCAGGCCAGAATGGAAAGGGAATAGCTACACCCTTATAGCAATTAAAGCATCATGACCAGGTTGAGGGAATCCGTCTAGAGGTCTCTCCTGAAGAACAATGGAAACCCGAAGAGGACGTCGAATTGGTACCCTTGGATCCTGACAAGCTAGAGAGAAAGCGCGGATCGACTCGCGCCTAAGCCAGAAGGAGAAGGTAGAGCTTACATCCTTCCTCCAGAACAATAAAGACGTATTTGGATGGTCGCCACCCGGCATGCCAAGCATCGATCCCCAGATCATCTGCCATCACCTGCACGTCAACCCAATTGTCAAGCCAGTAGCACAAAAGAGACACAACTTCGCTCCCGAGCGAGTCACCATAATCGAGGCCGAGATTGACAAGCTCCTAGCTGTTGGTTTCATTGAAGAAGTCTCTTATGCAAAATGGATGGCGAACGTTGTTCTAGTAGCAAAGAAAGATAAGGGCCTGTGGAGAGTTTGCATCGACTACACCAACCTTAACAAAGCATGCCCTAAAGACAACTTTCCACTGCCAAGAATAGATTAACTCATCGATTCAACTTTCGGCAATCAACTGCTCAACTTCATGGACGCCTATTTCGGCTACAATCAAATCATGATGCATGAAGACGACAAAGCAAAGACCTCATTCATCATCAAAAGGGGTATATACTACTACAAAGTCATTACCATTGAGCTGAAGAACACCAGAGCAACCTACCAAAGGAACAAATTGGCAAGACTATGGAGGTCTACGTAGACAACATGCTAGTTAAAGCTCCCCAGCGAGCAGACCACATCAAAAACCTTGCCGAAGCATTTAGCCTACTCCGAAAACACAAAATGAAGTTGAATCCAAGCAAATGCACATTTGGAGTCTCATCTGACCGATTCTTGAAATACTTAATCACCCAAAGAGGAATTGAGGCATATCCAAATCCAATCAAGCACATGAAGTCACCTACCACAATCAAGGAGATATAAAGTTTAACAGGTAGAGTAGCAGCTCTCAACTGATTCCTCTCGAAATCTACCGACAAGTGCAGCCCATTCTTCAAAGCCTTGAAGAAAAGACAAAAGGACAAGTGGGACGAAGAGTGCGAAGTAGCCTTTCAGAACTTGAAGACCTACCTCACTTCGCCCCCCTACTTTCAAAATTGATACCAAGCGAAGACTTGTACATCTACCTGGCGGTGTTCGACTCAGCTGTCAGCTCAGCTCTCATCCGAAAAGAGCTGGGGGCACAACATCCGGTATTCTACACTTCAAAAAAATTTCTCGACGTAGAGACTCGCTACCTAAAAATGGAGAATCTCATTTTTTTTGCTTATAGTTTCAACAAAAAAAACTAATGCCCTACTATCACACTCACCGGATAATTGTTATGATATAATTCCCCTTGAGATTGATCCTCCACAGCCCCAATGCCTTTCAGCGACTCATGAAGTGGGCCATCGAACTCAATCAATACGACCTCCTCTACCGGCCGAACACTGCTATAAAAGCCCAGACTTTAGCAGATTTTGTTGTAGAGTTTACTCCGACAGCCGAGGAAGAGAAGCTGGTCACTAAAAACAAAAAAAATTCGAGAGCAGATGATACCTCCCCTACCGATCCAAACCTACCCAGCGACATGTGGCAGCTGCGCGTAGACGGAGCATCAAATCATAAGGGAGCGAGGGTATGTGTCGTCATAATCACCCCAGACGGAGTCTTGTTGGAATAAGTCATCACACTAGGCTTTCCTGCTTCAAACAACGATGCAGAATATGAGGCATTGCTCATCAGACTGCGCTTAGCGAAAGAACTGTCTATTAAGAGATTGGTCATCTACTCAGATTCTCAGGCTAATCACGAATCAAGCCTTAGGCTAATCACGAATCAAGCCTTAGGCGAGTACACTCGAGAATGATCCAATACCTCGACAAAATCCAAAGACTTCTAAAAGAATTCCCCACTTTCACCATCCAACAAGTTCCACGAGTAGAAAACACTCATGCAGATGCATTGGCAAGCCTAGGATCATCGCCTGATAACCAGTTCAGATGCTTCATCCAGGTCGAATACCTTAACTGACCAAGCATCGAAGAAATAGAGCCGATCGACATAATGCAGATTGACGAGGACACCAGCTGGCAAAACCCCATCATAGACTACTTAATGAATGGAAATCTACCAACGGACACGTCCGAAGCTAGGAAGGTCCAGCAGAAGGCTGCAAGATACTACATGCAAGGCAACAAGCTCATCCGCATATCATATTCCGGCCCTCATCTCACCTGCATAAAGTACCCTCAAACACTTGAGGTTCTCTGCAAAATTCATGATGGCGAGTGTGGAAACCACTCTGGGGTAGGTCACTCGCCTAGAATGCTCTAAACATAGGCTATTTCTGGTCTACAATGCACCACGACTCCACCGAATATGTCTAGAAATGTGATCGCTGCCAGCGGTACAAACCAGTTCCTAACCTGCCTGCCGAAGTCTACCATCAGCAGAACAATCCATGGTCATTCATGCAATGGATCATTGATCTAGTGGGTCCTCTACCACCAGTGCCCGCCAAGAAAGATGGTTGCCCATAAGGAGCGTCATTCGGGAGACGCAAGGCGATGACCAGAAGCGTCCTTCAGGAGACGCAACTCGTAAAGAAGCGTCTTCAGGGAGACACAGGGTGCTCCAAGAATTTCCTAAGTGAGGTATCCATGTTCATATCCATTTCCTAAGTGGGGTTTGATAGTCATACATTTGCCCATAAATAGAGTCCTTCGGGAGACGCAACCCTCAAAGAAGCATCTTAAGGAAGACGCAGGGTGCGCCAAGAATTTCCTAAGGGATGTCTCCATGCTTCCTAAGGGTGGTATCCAGGTTCCTATCCATTTCCTAGGGGGGCATGATAGTCATACAGTTGCCCATAAACAGCGTCATTAGGGAGACGTAGTCCGCAACGTAGCGTCCTCAGAGAGATGAAGGGTGCACCTAGAATTTTTTTATGGGAGGTTTCCATGCTTCCTAAAGGAGGTATGTAGGTTCCTATCCGTTTTCTATGGGGGCATGATAGTCATGCAGTTGCCCATAAGCAATTTTCTTCGGGAGACGTATGGTGACGACCAAAGCATCGTACGGGAGATGCAGAACATGCCCGGGGTCCCTCAAAGGGGACCCTAGCACTTGTTAATTTCTTAAGAGAACGCATCCAACGGGAGATATAGAACATCCCCAGAGTCCCTCAAGGGGGATCCTGACACTTGTCAATTTCCTAAGGGAGACACACAATCAAGACACTAGCTGGTTATTCAAGCAGTTCACAAGTCAATATGCAAATTGAAGTTGAAAAAATAACTGAAATTTCCATAGCAAGCTAACCAACTGGCCAAGTTCAATAAAAAAAAAGATGTTCAAACAAGACCAATTATTATAAACAAGAAAGCAGACTATAAAGAAGTCTTCATCTACTCTAAGACGCTGACAGGAGACCCCTAATCTGCAGCCTCTTCAGCATCCACCTGATCTGCCACACCTTCAACAACTCCACCTGCTTGCTCCGTGACATCTGCCACCATCTTATTAGCTGCGTCCTCCTCTGCACCATCCTCTTCAGCTACCGCCTCTTCGGCCGCCTTCTTTTCAGTTCCTTCCATGTTCACAGCATTAACATGCTCACTTTGCACAGGAACAAGTTAGGGCAGAGTGTAATCTCAACAGCAAAAATCGCTCATTTTTGAAGCAAATGAACTGTTGCTTTCCTTTGTTTTTCCAAGGAAAGACTTGAAAAAGTATCAAGACCCCCAGCCTGATGGATATGATCAACCAATTTGACACAAGCGAACGGGCTTGATAGGAAGTTCATCTTTAGGAGATCAGACACGCCTACATCCTCTGCAGGACTAGACTTGTCCACCTTGGGATCAACCGCTGACGTTGTAGAAGAACCCTTCTCCCGAGTAGATGACTTTCTCACCGCCGCCATCCTCACCTCCAAAGGAGTCAACAATGCTGAATCAACTCCACGATTGGATGTTCATGACTCAACAGTTAGATCGTGATGGTTGGGCAAATGAGCAGGCCTCCCAGTTTGATCTCCATCCTTTCACTGGTGCAGACGACTTGAACCTTGGAGAAGAATATCAGTATCTTTTTGCCTCTCAATAGGAGAACTAGTTCGTGAGCAAACCACTTCATAGAGCAGATCACCGTCTCCAAGCTTGTCTGCACGAGGCTTGAGTGGAATATCCTGAATATTGCGAATACAGCCAATATTCTTCCTATGTGCAACAACGAGATGTTTAACCCTAGCTGATGACGGGAAACAGCTCATACTTGAGTCTTTTCAGAAGAAGGGATCCTTGGCTTCTTCCTCAACGGAGATGCATCATTTGCCTACGAAGTCGCAGCTTCATTTCTTAAAGACTTGACATCAGCCTTCCTTTTTTAGGGGGGTCTGGCAGAACACTCCTCCTGCCCAACCGGCAGATCATCAGAGTCTTGACCAATTTACTTTCATCTCTCAACATCTTGAGCAAGGGCAGACC